AMRRCAGMARWRMTRCKRCSGAGAGARTTTACTTTTGATAAAGATATTCAGGAAATGGAGTTTCGACCACTGATCCGTTTTCGATCCGTTTTTGGACGGAGAACATGCAAAACAATAATCAAAACAATCACACACTTTGTAAGACTGACAAAAGGACTTGATATTAATAGTTATAATTTTTTCGAACAGTTTTTGGTCGGAAAGAAGTACTAAAACGATACAAAAACACACTCGAAAGTAAAAACGATGCMAATAGTTGTGTAAAACGCTGTTCTCATCGCTAAATGAGTTAACTACGATGACGTAGTTTTACTTTCAATGCGTTATGAAAACTAGCGCGATTTCACTTTGGTTGGGTAGACAGCGTTATCATCGCTGGCTTTCGAACTCCTTCTTACAAATAACACAAAGACTGTACGAGTGTAGTATCAGTCAAACAMGTTGTCAACCCACGCAGTCATTGCTGCCCACTCGTTAGGAAATAGACAGTCAGGTTTTACTATCAATATTGATCATGATACACCGTCATTTACGACCTGCACAATACGAGGATATATCGAACTAAACCAGAACGCAAACGTCAGCATTTTACAACGTGAATAAAAGTGATGAATTTGAAAGCGTCCATTTTTGTGACTTAAGTATATAGAGTTTGTCAAGTTGAAGTTAAAGTTCTGATTTTTTCGTATAAAAATAAACCTTACCTRGTTTGACCGCCCTTTTTCAGCCGTTTAGCCTACAGCAATCGATAAGAATAAAATTTCGATGCATGTTGATTTACTGTTGCTTAGAAACGCGATTAGTCATGTCTTAATTTAGACCTGCCGCTGAATTGTTGGGATTGGCCCACTTTACCTCAGCCAGACCGAAAATACAGCGACCAAATAAGGAATAACTTGATGGAAGAAATAAGACGAAACTGCGATTAATCAATTAGAAAATTAAACAAAAACGGCCATYAATGCAAACAAAGTCTTGAGAAATCCGAAGGGGGATAGGGGTGGAGTGATCCGGATCAATCATAAATGAACAAGAAACTAAAAAGTAAAAAAAATAGAGATTGCAAACGTATTAGTTTATAATAGACAGGCTCTGTAGCTTAATCCTAACATTTGAATAAGTCTATCTGACTTTCCAATGTCTGCAATTTCTAGTTTGGTGATTGCAATGTCTGTAATTTCTAGTCTAGTAAGTGGTCAATACTTTCTGATTCATTATGGTACACCCTTGTGGCTGAATCAATACCTAGTCAGCACGCCATTACCCTTATGTTTATTGTCCTTAAAGGCTTTTAATAGATGAAAATATAATTTGCAATGCATGTTGACGARGAAATTTGAACTTGACCTTAAAAGTTTATACGTTATTCCACCGATATCGATACAGTTGTAAATTAATAATATACACACTGCCGGCATAAACTGTCAATTTTGTGAAAAGACATCAAAGATGTAATAATAGATGTTATTGGACTTTCAGTTTTTAATTTGCAAAAGGAGTAACTTTTTTCCATTTTATATAATCCGTTCTGAAAAAAACAGACTGCAAATGACAGGCTTATAGTCTCCGTTTTCGGTAGTACCGTTGAACTACAACGAAAAAAACAACAACTATAAAGTCATCATTGACAAAGATTGTTGTGCTAATACCAATTTCGCATCTAAATCCTATCGTAAAAACTCCTAATCCCAAGCCAAGTTTAGTTCGCTTTGTTTTCTGCCAAAATCTCATGGCTGTATATTATTCTCAGCTCAATAATGCTAGGCGGGGAACCCAGCTCCCATTCAATAAATCTTCTTCCACACGTTTAGTGGTTTTAGATCTCTTACAAATACGTAAACATATTTTTCTCTTGCAGGTCACACAGAGAACTGCATTTACTATAAACAAAGAAGCCACGAATTGTCTCAATAGGAGATCACTGACTGCCGCTGTGAAATGTACCACGGTTGTATATAACACGCGCTAAAACGTTGCAATTCTCATGTTTCAAACAAAGATGTTGACTAAATTATTGATTATTGTCGGTATATGCGACCCGCGCGCTGCGACGTTTGAGCAGTGCGTTTTACAAGATATAGTGAATAGGTGTTCTTCGACTAGCAATTTGTTATGAATGGTTTGTATGAAGTGCAAATGTTCGTGATACTCAATTAAATGCAGTAAACAACCCCGTTGTTTCGTTCAGCACGATTTTGTAATATTTCAAGGTTTTTCTCTTTGAGCTCTATGTAGGACTTACGGTGCACTAAACGCAAATTCGCAGTGACATATCCTTCTTTTTGTGCAGCGATAAGATAAGATAAGATAAAGTTTATTCAACTTGGTCATACATTTAGCTCTATTATAAAAATGTTGCCTAATTTATAGGAGAAAGAACTACATAAATTTATGTCTGAGTTTATAGGAGGCAAATAAACGAGAAATGAAGAAAGAAATGCTGATTTACTATTTGGATAGTCACTTAAAATCGCTAATATCCAGTCGTCATTACTTTCTAATGGCGGAGTATTTTTTATATAGTTGTAATAATAAGATTAACACTCGTAATTATGGCAGTTTTCATTGAATACCGTTTTTAAACTGTCTTATAAATGCGTGGGTAGATGAAGATTCAGTTACAAGTTGCTCTAGYAAACGATTTTTTTTATTTACTTTTCCAGCGTGGTTTGTCTTATAACTATATATGTTTTGTTGTAAATTGTCTTATTCATTGAGGATACATTGCACGCACGCGTTCACAAGTTTTGCGCGGGAAAATCCTGACGCGCGCGTCAGATTAATTAAAACACCTAATAAAACGACTTCTCGAGAAAACGCCCGAAATATGTCGWGCAACCAAACCAAAGAACTACATGTATTATTCGCAATTCTTATCATATTAGATCAATCTGAGATTTCTCTAAATGATTTTTTTATCATTAKGTGATTGTTTCAATGTTTGGAGCTTAAAATTCAAGCTCTCTTCTTTAGCAGTTTGCAGGAGGAGATTCAACAACTAGTTTTTCAATTATGTTTCTATTGCAAAGAGCACAGAAAAAATTCAGTCAGCAGGAAACCAAGAAAATAATTGAAGCAGACAAAAATTTAATTTCAAAAGCCTTTCAAAAGGCTTAAACTAAGTTTGGTTAATTTTCTTGTATACGCACAGCGCTCGGCGAACAAGGAAATTTTGCATTAGCAGAGATGAAAGTAAATTAAGTTCCCCAGGTGATCACGAAAGGCAAGAAATACCGCTTAGGTAAAAATGAACAATAACTCACTTATRCACTGACCTCAGGCGAATTAACCCCYTCAGTGAYACTCTAAACAGCGAACTACATTGCATGAAAAATTAAACTTTTCTATTTTRCATAACAAACACCGAAAAACATCAAAACAAGCATAGAAAAATCAAGACTTTATCCGTTACAAAAATAGATGAGTAAAGAACCACCGCTGYGCTRCCTATGTGGTTTATTTAATTCAAACTCRGTTGGAGGGRAACSGAGTGATCAGTTAAATGCCCTGAGGACGGAAAAAAGACTTTTCGGAAAACAGCGATTTTTGTTCGCAAAGTTCACTCATTATCATTGCTGATATTTTGCTGGTAGTTTCATTCCGCRTCGGCTAGAGACGGGAAATGAGTCCTCTTTTCTTCCGCTATTACAATTTTGTGCTTGTACTTGACCTTTATGATACAAAATTGCAAGTAAATAATTGAATCATTTGAAGATAAAAATGCCATATTCAATAAGTAATCGAGCCGGAAAATCTTCACGGAATATGAAATCCACTTTGCTAATGCAACGCTCTCATTTTTCAAAWTYAAGAATATCTCATTTCATTGCATTACATCTTTCTGACACYCAAAACACCTGAACCACAACGTAAAATACCCTCATTTTTTAAATCAAACGATACGTACATTATAATTCACTTGACRCAGCGCTAGAGTAAACACCACTTAGCATATTTCAGAGGTTTTGATAAACAAGTTTGCAAACTTCATTCAAACCCAGCAGTCATTTAAGAATCACACTCGTTGAGTTCATGGGAGGTATAGGTTGAGTGATGACCACTCTCTATATGAGGTCGGTACTTTACGCCCTTTTTGTGAGCATCATCTGACACGCTTGTATTTGGAAGTAGTTTTTGGAGTATAGTGAAGGTTTATGACTGACAATGATTCTTAAAACTGGAACTGATATAAACCCAAGACACGATACCTTTACAAATATTTACCTAATAAGAAGAGTTCTAGGAAATCGTGCAGGAAGATTGTCTAACCAACCAACCAACCCTACAACCAACCAACCAACACATTACCTCAAACCCTCAACTAGTCAATAATCGACCGATCGAAGTCAACTGCGACCTGACGGACACCTCACTATTGCGGTCACTCCGGCACTACGGGCAACATGAATCTAAATTCCCGATAATTACTAAACTAACTCCCGCAACTAAAGAGCCTTGCTAATACGGACATTGTAGATCGGTCCTTTAGGGTGTCCGCTATAGGGGTTGTTTGACAAAAAGGTCTAAACAATAACCCGACTCACAAGTAAACAAGCCCTGAGACTGTTGTGATTTTAATGTGCATAAATCGATCACACAGGAAGCCCGCTAATGACAATCTCAACGATACAGAAAACATGCAGTGCGCAGATTTCATTACGGTGTGCATGTGTATGTATCTAGGTTTGCATGTTGAATACATATTCTAATATATATAAGTAGAATGAAATAGAACAAAACACCAACTTGAAGCTATAAAAACTCTTCAGCAAACTGATATACACCGATTTCATAAAATAATGACACTCTTTAGATATATATACATATATATGATTTGTTGATATTTATTGTAAAACAGAGGCCCAAATTGCTGAAACTATCTTTGTTTATATTTAATGAAGGTTTTTGATGTGTTGCCAATCACTTAACGGCCTTTAGAAAGGTGATTTTCAAGGAAAAAGTACTGCAACATATATATGTATATATATTTCAGGAGTGTCATTTTTTTCTGAAATTGGTGTATATATATATATATATATATACAGCCTTTTGCAAAAATTATGAGAATTGTCTAAATATCTAAATATCATAATATCCATATCCATATATTGTCCGGAACACGCGGGTTTGCTAGAATAATTCATTGTTGACATCGAGAAAATGTTCAGAACTACGGATAAGTCCGTCGCCAAAAAAAACTAAATAACAAAGACAAGGGACTAAGGGCATCGCGCGGGATCATGCAATTGATATTATGATATTTAGATATTTCAACAATTCTCATAATTTTTGCAAAAGGCTGTATATATATATATATATATTTATATCTCAATTTACATCGGTTTGTACTATGTAACCAGTGATATTTAACAGATTAAAAAACGTTTCTTTCTTCTTTTAAAAAGTTGAATTATACATTGGAAAAAAACGAATTTACAAAGGAAACACGTGGTTTGAAGTGGAAATTTGAATCTGAAATGAATCTTTTTACATGTCATCAATGAATAATGTAATAATTTATTGTGCAAAGGTAAAAAAAGTTTGTTTGATCTGAGACTTTCATGATAATTAGAAAAACAAACAAAGAACAAATATTTTGATCGAAAAACCTTTCCTGTTAATACTGGTCTGGTCTCATAGACAATGCACAGTGAGACTAATGATAATAGTGAAGAAGAAAAACACTTTTAGCACTATTTTTTCCGAAAAAAAATATCCGGTAAAGCTGCAACCAGTACTCACATTTTTTTATGTCTTGGAGATTTTATTCTTCTTTATTTATCAGATACTAGATACTGAGTGTTGATTGCATTGTTTTTGCTGTGKGGACTGGTGAAAATGAAAACAACCTTACATTATAACATCAACATTTAAACGAAACATAAAGTATTCCATATAAGGATCGACCGTTGCTAAGCGGTATCTAAGGACTTTGTTTTCAACGTTTTCGTAGTGGATATGCAAATCGCTTRAGATTAGAAGTGTTTTCATAAAACAGGAACACTGTCACTAATACATAAAATAATGAATACAATTGGCAGTCCAAAGAAAACGATCTCTACTGATTGGATCGSCAGTTCTATTCAAAGCCAAACTGCCGTCTGCTGTGGATAAAATATTTAGTCGACGTGCTCTGATTTGAACGACAAAAACATGTAAAAGTTTTGCGTTAAGCGTTATGAGTTTTCGGCGATTGCTTAGGAGGATAAGYCGYCGCGCAAGAAGAAAACTGACGCGTCGTCAAGATTCCATTTCATTACCTACAAACTTTGAACATCGTGTACATGTAATCCTAGACGAAGAAACTGGGAAATACGTCGGTCTCCCGCCACAATGGGCGTCCATAATGAACACCAAAGTGGTACATTTAGCAAGGAGAAGCAATTCTTCCCCAGATCTTCGCCATCAATATGCAAAACATAATGGCGTCGTTGACAACACGAATAATTTCACGAACGATGTATCAAAGCAACGATTACGGAACAGCTTTCAAAATGAACAGGATTTGACAATTGAAAGACTCAAGAATGAACTTCGCGACCGTAAAGCGAAATGCACGCCTAAGTTGTCAAAAATGAATCGGTATTCTTGGCAGGAAGGKCCTTCGACGTTCCCCAAACAGAATGGGAACTGGAARAGTGAAAATAAGGAYGGAAAACAGAGAGATTCAGGCGTTTTGTCGCCCAATTCTCTTACGGCAATGTTAAGGTCGGAATCCTCTGTATAATATACTGACGAAGGAAAGTTCTCGGAGTGAAAACATCGAATAAGAAAACGTTTCTTGGGCAACTAATGTTTGCCARATTCATTTCGCATGCTAAAAACGGGAATTAACGCGCCGGCAATGAAAGGMGAGCTGCAGTTAAAGAGAAAAAGACATATTCATCAAATACTAGAAAGTCTAGGAAATAAAGCTCGTATATTTMTTCAGCATACGTTGACAAATAAGACAGACAAAAAGGTAAATAAGTAAAGTACTTCAAAAACACCTCATCTTGAGCACAGACGTATGACAAATACAGCTAAAATTATAAGTAGCCATTGTGTTCAGRWGSAAAGTTGGCGATTYTGACAGGTGCAGGACTTGCTCAGAAGATAWTTTCACGTCTTTTCGTGTAGAAATAGTAAAAACTACAGGATTRAGTGCACTGAAAGTAAATAATAATTCATGATATTCAGCTGTTATGACATTTAAAACAGTGCCAGCTCTGTAGGCGGTAAATAYCATGTCTTCAGATGGACTGAATAGTGCAGTATTACGCGTGTACTTTTCGACGAAACATATTTTTAGTTCAAAATTACAACCATTTACTTCTAATACTAGTATTATAWAAAGCATATCCATATGCGMMTTTCAAATCGATCTTTTTTTATTTWAAAAATAAACATTGTGATTGTTGATAATGGAAATCATAAYAGATTTTAAGCCAATGATTTTACGATCATTTTAAATCGATCTCAATTACCCTGAACTTTTGTGTCGTCAGAAAATAACAATATAGAAGTATAAAAAAGGAAATATTCGATAAGAGGACAGTGACCAAGAAGTCTATTCACAAAATTGACTATTAAATTTCAAGTGAGACATATCGTATGACTGTTCTAGATACGTGTCGATTTAGAATAGCAATATTTATATCATAAAATATTATTTATTTGTTTGTAATAAAATATTCCTGAGAAACGCAAAATTTTTAATAATAAATTACATTAGTTGCAAAGAAAAATAAGCAAATAACTAGACATGTTAACGCAAAAAAATAATATTTTTACACCCAAAGGTCTGGAACTAGTTCGGCAACAAAGCAAGTTGAGTTAATGTTACCAATAATTCATAGCGATTACGGACTCGTTCCCAGACCTAACGATCGCTAACTGGTGATTACTAAATTTACATCTAACTCGAGGATTAACATGATTTACGAATTAATTYATGCAAACAGGTGGCCATGACATAAATTATTCACACTTGTTCAATTCAACAAGAGAAAATTATGGTGTACTAATAATCCCGACCCTCCCCACCCTCTCACAAAGAAAAAAMCATTATATTAGAAAATTGACAATAYAGTACTCCCTCCCTCTGATTCTGTACAGTTAAGCTTAGAAGGATATTGATTCAACAACAAACACATAACTGATGTCCAAGTTCCGGTCATTTCTTGCTGAGAATGCAAAGAATATTGACTCCTGATAGACCCAAATTAACACGCCTGAAAATGAAAACATAGGAATTTAAACAAAGAACAAAAATAATATTTCCTGACAGTGGATACACCACAAGGATGGTAAAATGAAAAGCCGCAAGCACAAGAAATGTTCTTACGCACACTGTGAGCACGGTTTATTTTAAAGGTGGCCACTGTCCCACAAGAAGCCATCTTATCTATATTTTCTAGCACTTAGAAATGTTAGAAAAGACAAAATGACAGCTGAAGAGAATGAAATGACTGGAAAGTAATAGTGGATGAAAACGGAGGGGAAAAAGAAGAAAAGGAAAAACATCAAAACAGTAGAAAAGGGATTATAAAAGAACCTTTACATAATACAATTATAACAAAAGCTGCAGTAGCATAAATTTCAACCTACCCTAGCATACCATTGTCTTTGGTCTTGACTTGGTACAAGAAGAAGATTATAGCATGAAATAGATTGTTGCGACCCTGAAATACAACAAGAAACATGAAACTCCCAGATGAAAATAACTGCATTGTGCACATAGTAATGGAAGAGTTAAAATCATGGTTTACATTCAAAATGACAGAAATTTTTCTCTCTTTGTAAAATATAYAATTTWTCTCAGTMKTTTTCACAAACACAGCCACAGCAAGCCAATAMTAGATACTAGAATGCTAATCTCTTTGTACARCATTTGACACACAAGCACTATTCAATACCTTTGCTAAATCAAAGACCTCGTCTTCTACAACAACCTGCACAAAAAAGCATGTTTAGCCATCAAATACTTCATACCATTAACCATTTGCAATTACATAGTGATTTATATATTACCAACCTTGTAGTGAAGAGGACGAGACATATATATGCACAAATCACTTTTCCTGGCATCTGTGCGTAAAATAAATATASATGCATAATTTTCTTATTACTAACACTGCATCATCTCAATCAAATTTTTCTAACCCTCTCCTCCCTTATTAAGATATAATCCCCACCCTCCCCTCCCKCATTTATAACAGATTATCCCCAACCACCCCTCCCTCCTTTCATACCAGGTTTATCAGGYGTCTTGAGGAAGTGAAGCCCAGTAAAAGTCCCTCCATCAGGGAACCTTGGATCAGCAGGCAGCCTTGAGTCCATGTACGTACAGAACATATGCATAACAATCTGAAAAAGATAATAATTTCATTTTATTTATTTTTTTAATTTTAATTTTTGTCGTAATAAAAACGTTCCTAGTACAGTCAACTTTTGTCTTACAGACACCCCRCTATAACAGACATYTCAATAYYGAGGACAGTMAAATACTGAATCYCYGGTGRAAAATACAAAGAAATGACTGAAAGTGACTCCAGTTATTACAGACTTTCACTACTTCAGACACTGCATTACGTCCTGAGGGTGTCCGTCATAGCAAGAGTTGACTGTATAARRCAYAAGTKCACTGTATCTCTGCAGTCAAATGTGTTTCTGTCCAAATCACCTGTGAATCCGTGATGTTGTTWGATTCCCAATCTTTACCGCGAAACTTTCCACCAGAGTTCCATCTATAGACACTCATACAACCTCCTTTTGCAAGCTCTACAACAACAGCAGAATTGCAGAATTGCATACTGAGTAAAAGTTAATGATGAATTATATAATAATAATAATGAAAACTTGTATAGCGCATGTACAAGTCTGTTCTATGCACTCTGATTTAGCTAACAAACAAATTAAACTCTAAAAGCTAAACTAAACAAATAAGTTTTAAGTTCTTTCTTAAAGGACAGCAAAGAGTCAATGTTTCTTTTAAGAAAAATCAGATGGGAGAGAGTTCCATAAAGTAGGGGCAGCAACAGAGAAAKAGCGAGAGCCATATGTTTTCATGGAGTAAGGTTTAACAGATAGGAGTAGTTCTTTAGAGGACAGGAGCATACATTAAGTATATATTAAGTGTATACAGCCTTTTGCAAAAATTATGAGAATTGTCTAAATATCTAAATATCATAATATCCATATCCATATATTGCCCAGAACACGCGGGTTTGCTAGAATAATTCATTCTTGACATCGAGAAAATGTTCAGAACTATGGATAAGTCTGTCGCCAAAAAAAAACTAAACTACAAAGACAGAGGACAAAGGGAATCGAGCGCGATTACCCATCATGCACTTGATATTATCATATTTAGATATTTCGACAATTCTCATAATTTTTGCAAAAGGCTGTATAATACAGTAATATGGCTATAGATATCAAAAACATTGCTTATCACCACAACCAATTCAGACATAACAATTACAGAAAAGCATTGACAACATGTTGGTTTTGAGACAACATGAATGAGTTTTACTTGATGGTAGTCTATTGCTAAAGTAAAGTGACCAAAACTACATTATAAAGTATACATACCTCTCACTCTTTGTACCAAGTATTCCTGGTTATTAGACGCTTCTAAATAAGGAATGATGACCTGTAGAAATGGAACCTGGCCTGATTTGGCTTGAGATACATGACGTAGTACGCTTAGACTGACAGCTGTTAAAATCATGACAACCAAGTTGTATTTTCTTAAATTTATTCATTTGTTCATCAAAAAAAGTTTGTGTACTTACTTCCAACCTGGTATTCTTGACAACCAATCTTACAAAGTACATCATTGACAGAGTCGATCTGCTCGACCAGACGTACCAGGATAGTTTGACACAACCACTGCAAGTTGATATGCAAAAAAAATGAGTTGAAACTGGGGCATGTACTAAACCAAAACATTGCGGTTTGATTCAAAATAAATCAAACCAGGTTCTGATACAATCAGAGTTCATAGTATAAACACTTTGGGATGTGAGTTTTCAATTTTCTCACCTTTCTGCAGTTTTCTGTCCAGTAATCTAGGTCGCCTCTGGTAACACCTAACCTCAACCACAACTAGAAAATACAGTATATAGAATTAAGGTATTGCTGATGTAATGAAAATGGGTCAAATGGTTTGAAATAATAGCCTTTTGCTATACAATATTTGGCTTCAAAATTGGTTGGTGAAGTTGGATTTATTGTTATAATTTACCTCTTCAGATCTATGCGATGAGTATCCAGAATCGTCATCATCTCTTGATGAGCTCAAATCTGGAGACCTGTGGCATACGATGAAATATTACATGTATCAAATAGGACTATAATTAAATGCTTATCTCACTGAGAAAGGGAGGAAGCAAGACATTTTTTAACTGTAAAATTGTAAGGTTCATAGCCAATGGTAATGACTACCTGAAGATTGGCAGTTTGGATTAAGGTCGATTAAGAATGTTCAGTTGTGCTTCTACAAACAATGTAAAACACATTAAACTTTCCAGAATTCAAGGTTTCTCATAGTTGGCAATTGAGAGATAAAAATATCCTTCAAGAAAAACCTTCTTAATGAAAGAATTGGAGAACCAGTTTGAAAGCTCTATAAAAGTTTACAGCAAAATAAAAAAATAATGATGATGATGATGATGATGATGATAACATTACAGGTTTAACTGACCTTCGAGCAATTCTATAAACGCCAAGCTGTGGTGTAAAGTCATTTCTAAAGGGTGACCAACAGGAAGAAGGTCCTCTGTTTGTCGACAAGGAATCTGACAGTGCTGCAAATAGAATAGAAAGAAAGAAATTCCTTATTATAATGAATAATCAGTGCTTATATTATAATATCAAGAATAATAATAATGATATGATAAGTTCCTTTGAAGTATAAAAATACTAAATTATTATGTTACTATTCAATGTCTGACAGTGTATTGACACAAATT